TCCCTCTCCCTCTCCCTGCACTGCCGGGAGTTCACTGATTGACACCGCAGTGACGGTGACGAGGCGGCTCCGCCTTGGCACGGCAGTGATTGTGCCAGACAGAGCTGTTTAAATACCACCAGACAGAGTGTTACTCACAGGAAAACGAGGCCTTAAATGTCATTATTTGTGTCATTATTAATAGCCCCTAATTGTGTTCTCTAATCATCGTGAAATTATGTTAATATTAATATTCACATCAAAACTGCCTAGGGAAGGAGGAGAACTTTTTTCTTTAAAAAAAACCAGCCCTACTCTGTGTCAATCCCCATTAATGGGAAACACTTGCCGGAGATAGGGATGGCTGCAGGGAGTTCTCTGCTCCTCCCTGCCCTGGGAAAGGCTGTGCCTGCTGACACCCAGGACCTGTGACACCCTTACACCCATCACGGTTCTGTGGGGAGCTCTGCTTCATCCAGCAGTGCTTCCAACAAACCCGCTGGAGGGAGGGAGCCAGATTCTTTACTTACCCTGGGAAATCTCAGAGGTGCAGGAATATCACATTTTGTAGCATTACTGGCTTTTGGAACATGGTTTTGCTTTGCTGAGTTTATTCTTTTCATTGTGTTTTTGCCAGCGTGAGAGAACAGCAACAGTGTGAGCCCACCAAAGAAACCTTTAGAAAAAGCCTTCCAAAGGCTTTTTTATTCATTAACTTCAATGACTGTTGCTCAAGAGCTGAACTCTGGGATGCTGAGGACATTTGGCCCCCCGGACCATCATTACAGTTATTTTAGCAGCTCCCCAGGGGCCACATTGAAGCCTTTACCATTCCCCAGGGGATGCCCACCTGCCAGGAGCTGCAGCTCTGCCCCACCACCTCCTGTCCTGACCATCAGATGTCCTGGATGCACGACAAGGAACCTTTTTTTTTTTTTTTCTGGAAAGAAATGTAATCAGAAGAAACGGCTTTCTCTGCAATTTTCTCCATTTTCACAAGCTCTGCTTGTGAGTACGCCTGGCTTAATAAAAAAAGAGGTTTTGGAGTGGCAACTATTATACCTCGCGTTAAATACGGCTCAGAGCTTGACACTGACCCCAGAGCCCAGCCCAGGGAGCTGACAGTGGGCTGGACTGGGGAACAGCTCCCACAGGTCCTTGCTGGGTGCCTCCCCTCAGCAGCTGCACTGCCAGGCCCAGCCCGGGCAGCTGCAAATCCCCTTTTCCCTCGGGCTGGGGGAAGGAAGTTTGCAAAGGTGTTTAACACTTCCATGTGAATGATTTTTCCATAAAATATTAATGACGTAGATATAACCTAATTGAGTCCTCAGGGCAATAACCTCTGACAAAACGGCCCTGATTAGGAGATAATTGACTGTGGGAATGGTGCTCAGGGAGCTTAATGTTGGCAAGGTCCATTATCTGGGGATAACGACCCCCTTTTGCCAGGTGCCAGGGCCATTATTAGGGGGCTTTTGGGGGAATAAATCCTCCCTCACCTCTTCTGTCCAGTACTTTAAAATATTCTGTTATCCTGTGATGGGATGGGGCGGGCTGGCAGGGTGAGAGTCCTGGCTCTTGTCCTGGTCCTGAGTGCCCGGGACAAACACAGAGATGGTCTTTACCCCCAAAACCAAAGGTTTTCTGGGCTCTCCCCCAGACCTGCACATATAGGGACATTCAAGAAAGCATTAATATAAACCACCATTGACTTCAATTTATATTAATACACTGTGCAGTGAACTGAGGTGGCTGATTCACAATCCTCATCAGATTTCAGTGCACCGGGTAAATCAGCTCCCTTGGTTCACTGTAGTTTAATTATAAGCAAATTGCAAGTGAATTAAGATAAATCGAATTAGAACCACTCTAATACTGAACAAAAACGCCCACCGAGGAGTCTGTGAAAGTTTAACCACTCCACTTGGAGAGGTGACTTGGGACACATTGGCCAGGCACACAGAGAGCCACGCTGGGCTGAGCAGGGGCTGGTCCAGGAGGCTGCTGAGAGTGGGGGGCAGCAGGAACACAGCCATGGACCCTGGGGGGCAGCAGGAGCATGGCCACTGACCCCTGGGAGCAGCAGGGGAATGGCCACTGACCCCTGGGAGAAGGAGAATGGCCACTGACCCCTGGCTGCTCCCTGGGTCCGGGCCCTGTGGCCACTGGACCACAGGACTGGCCACTCTCAGAGCCAGGGAGCAGAGCCAGAGCAGCGAACGGGAGGTTGGAAGGAGGGGAGAGGAGGAGCTGGAGCAGACTGCTGCGGCACAAATTGGAAGCTGGGGTGGCTCTTTCTTCTTCTCCTTCTTTCTTCCCTCCCAGGGAAGTGTCATTTGTACAAATTGCCCGTCCGTGCCAGCTTGGGAGAGACCTCACAAGGGAAACCTGGAGCCTTCCCCGCTTTTCATGTGAGCGGATGCCCCTTTTATTTCTGAGCAAGGAGTAAGTGGAGAAGAAAGCAGCTCCTGTCAGCCTCCGGGAGACAAATTGCTTCCTGCAGCCCGAGGTGGCTCGGCTGTGAGAGCCAGAGGTGAGCCGAGCTGCCCCCAGCCTCTCCCCTCTCCCCAGCTCCGGCTCCAGCTGAGCCCTGCAGAAGTGACCAGCCCTCCAGGCACTTTTATCAGCCCAGGATAATTCCCGGGGCTTTCCTCCTCTCGGGGCAGGAGAGGCGCTGCCCCAGTGCCATGAGCCGGGATGCTCCGGGCTCAGGACAGCGGCCGTGCCCTGAGCTGCTCCCACGGGCTCGCATCTCCCCCAGGGCAGGTGGGCAGTGGCCCCCGGGGCACTGCAAGCCATAAAGTTATTTAAACAGCGGAGGTAACAAAGCTTCCCCGCTGCTCTGACATTTCCAGAGGGTGAAAGGTAAAAACGCGCTCTATAAAAACCCAGCCCGGGCTTTGCGGCTGCTGCTCTCGGAGCAGCTCATTAAACGGGAGGGGCAGCAACTTGCAGATGAAAGCCCAGCCTGGCAGGGAGCGGGGGCTGCGGGAAGGACACCCCTTTTCTCCTTTGAACCTCCTTGTTTTGGGGAAAAGTGGGAGCGGGGCTTGGCGTCAGCGAGCGGCTCCATCCACAGCCCCTAATTATCCCCCCGAGCCAAACCGCAGGGAAAGTGCTGCTGGTGGCAGAGCCCCCGGGCCAGTGGCAGAGCCCCCGGGCCAGTGGCAGAGCTCCCGGGCCAGTGGCACAGCTCCCGGGCCAGTGGCACAGCTCCCGGGCCAGTGGCAGAGCTCCCGGGCCAGTGGCACAGCTCCCGGGCCAGTGGCACATTGCCACACTCCAGCCCCAGCCCTGCTGGTTGCTGCCCCGCTTTGCCCTGGGCTCTGTGACCCCGGGAGGAGGGAGGGAGGATGGAGACCCCGGTGTCTGTGGGGTCCCTGAGGGGTCTCCACCTCCTCTGTCTGCACAGACACATCCCTGTGCCCTGTGGGAGCTGTCCCCCGCCCCCTGTCGCTGATGGCCTCGTTGGTTAGGGAAAAGGCTTGCTGAAGTCAATTTATTGTGATATGGAATAGTGAAAAACCAGCAAAATCAATAATTCTGCAGAGTCGGGTGGGCTGGGGGGAGGGAGGAGGCCCAGGGGTGAGCCCAGGTAACCAATGAGCTCAAAACCCCCGTTCCCGGCATCCTGCCCCTGCTCCATCCCTGCTCGGCAGAATTCCATTGGGATGAGGCAGCCTGTGCTCCTCCCCCGGCCGGGACCAGCAGAGCATCCCAAACTCCCCTTCCCCGGCGGGGCTGTGCCCCGGCCACCTCCTCCGGGAGGGAACGAGGTGCCCAGGCTGCCCCCACCGCACCCCGAGGGTCCAGAGTCACCCAGGGAGAGGCCAGATGTGGCGAGAGCCTCCCCTGTGCTGGCAAGAGACAAATGTGGTGGAAGTGGCTCAGCAGTGTCCCTGTCAAAGGCATCCTGCAGCTGTGGGGAGGCTCAGGAGCTGGAGCCAGACAGGTCTGCATGAGTCAGGAGGGGGGAGTGAACCGTGGCAGGAGTGATGGAGGGTTTCCTGTTCTGGAAATTCACGGATGGATTTGTTCTTTTGAAGCCTGCTGGAGTTCAGGCAGGAGTTAATCTGGAGCAGCCAAATGTGCACAGAGGGATCCCAAAGGCTCCCTCTGATCCACCATCCAAAACCACGAGCCCCCTGTGACATGGGCTGCTGTAAAAGCCTCTTGCCAAATCTCTCTGTTCTGTGGTAATTCCTATTACAGCTGATTTCTACCATGTGCCTGCACACCCTGTGGTTTACAAGAGCTCTGGAGCACTGGCAGAGAGCAAAAATTGGGAGATTGGAAAAAAAAAACACAGAACAGTGAATGAGGTTTTTTTGAACTTTCCTCATCAAATTATGGCACGAGAGGAATCAGAGGATGCCCTCCATGCCCACCCTGGCTCACAGCCACTCACCCTCCCTCCCTCCCTCCCACCCAACCTGTGCCTCAAAGCACACACACCTCAGTTCCATCCTCCCTGTCTCTCGCTGTTGCTTTTCCCCAGTATAAATTTTGCATTTCTAGCCTGCTTGTCATATTTCCTACCGGATTGGGTGTTTAATTAAAATCATAATTAAAATTGATCTCCTCATTAGCATGCACCTGCTCTGCTGCTCGCGTCCTGGCATTTAATTATCCGCTGAAGATGTCAAGTCTGACAGGCGAGAACGAGACCCCGGCCAGTAACCCCTGACAGGACTTCCCAGTGACAACATCTGGATACTGGAGCCCATCTGCTGGAATGGCCTCAGTGCCGGGCAGGGGGACGTGGGCACTGCTGGAGCCGGGGGCTGGCAGCCCCCGGGGTCACTGGGGTCTGCACCCAGCAGCCTGCACAGCCCCTGCAGCTCTCTGCCATGGAAATGTGTGGGGACAGTTCCCCCAGCCGGTACAAACCTCTCTGTGCTCGCTGGGCTCCCATCAGCCCCAGGGCTGAGAGCCAAGCCCGCTCTCTTCTGGAGAGGCCCAGCAGCCCGGGGTGCTCTCCCTCCTGTGGGGAAAGCAAAGCTCCCCTCACCTTGCCCTGGGGTGGCCATTAAGGGAATTATCCGAGTTCTTTCCGGTTCTGAAAGTGCATCTGCTCTTTTCCCTGTGTGCCAGGCAATAAAGCTGCCAAAAGGCATTTTTGGGGCTGTTATCCACGAGGAGTTTTATTCCCCTGCAGTTTTGGAAGTCTCTCACTGATGGATGTGGGTTCAGTGGGATCCGTGAAGCAATGAAAGCTGACATGGAACGTTCCCTCCAAATTGAAGGCTCTCCCTATGGCTCCCTGGGGTCCCAGCCTGTTTGGAACCCAGGGCCTGCCTCTCCTCCTGCTCTGGGTGTTGGATGGGGCTTGGGCAGCGCTCAGCAGTGTCTGCAAAGTCTTTGCACTGTGGAAACCCCAGCTCAGCCTCTCCGAGTGGTGCAAGGGCTGCTGCTCCTCAGCAAAGTGCGTCCCAGGGAAGAGCAGAGAGGATAAACCCTTTAAATGCTGTTCAGCTCGTTCTTGTCCCTGCCTGGCCAGGGGCTGGTGGCCCAGGGCAATGCTCCACCTGTGACAGGGACAGGCCATCAAATGCCACTTACAGAGACCTTTATGCCTGGGGAAGCTGGGAGTGGAGCTGAGGCTGGAGCTTTATTGCAGCTGGGCTCCCTCATTTGGGAATGCTGTGGGTGCTGTGCACACGTGGGAGCAGAGTCACCTTTGCAGGAACAAACTCCACGCGTGGCCTGAGAGTGAAGCAGAGACGTTCCCAGGTGGCCACAAGGACACGAAGGGAGCCCTGGCAGCAGCGAGCCCTGCAATGTGAAGCCAGGGCTGTCAAACCCCCCAAACGTGGCAGCAGCAGCAGCCAGTGACCCCTGCCCGGCCCTTTTGGCAGAAATGAGGCACCTGAACTTCCTGAAGAGAAACCCACAGGCGTTAATAACCTGACAGCAGCCCAGCATCCCATTGGGAACGTTATTTATGAGGCTGCATCATTGCCAGTCCTGCTGGGAAAAGCCCTGCTGCAGGGAAGGAGATCCGGGAAGGCTGCAGTGGGCACGGGACAGAGCAGGGCTGCCCTGCCAGGCCCTGGGGTGCTGCATCTGGGCACATATCCGTGATTTTAACGAGATTTCTGCAGCAGCAGTAACTCATCAGCCTGGAGCACAGGCCAGGGATAGATGGAGGGAGGGCACGGCCAGGCTGTGGCTCAGGGAGCAGCTGGACACCCCCGTGCTGCTCTTGGAATGGGCCTGGGAGAGAAGTGGAGCCTACAGAAACATTTGTCATTTGAGCTGTAATTACACAATTACGTAAATGCATGATATTAGTAGTCAAGAGCCTGGAGTTTTCACTAAATAGTCCCTTAAGTAAATAAACATTTTCGAGCGATTACATTATTGGGATGAGATTTTTTTTCAAATAAGATGTTAGGAGTTGTGCAGGATGACAGTAGAAAGCAAGAGGGAAAACCAAACCAAACCCAACCCAAAGCAGTGACTGGCAGGGCAGCAGGTGAGGGCCAGCAGGCTCTGCAGTGCTGCCTCGTTTTTGGACTGCTGCTCCCAGACACAGGCTCTGGACACGAAGGCAGTGTGGAGCAGAGGAGTGGAAAGACAATTCCATTCCACTTTAAGAGATACCACTGTGGAGAAGGCACATGAGGATGGCAGTTGCAATGGAAGCACAGAATATAAATAAATATATGTGTAAAAACAAACAAGAGCTCATCAAAACAAGCAAGAACCAAACCCAATCCCTGCATTACCCTCAGTAATTAAATATTTATCAGAGCAGAGGAAGTAAAATCCATTTACTGCTTTGGGCCAGTTACAATCCTTTTAAAAAACCTTTGCAATTAGTTCATTCCTCCCTGAGAGACGAGAACACTGGAACAGTCTCCAGGTCCATCCTGAACAAACTGTGGAACATTTTCTCTCCTGGTCTGTGTGTGTGCACGAGGGTTCCAAGGAGCTTTGGGCAGCTCAAGCCCTGAGTGTGGGGTTACCATGGGCCCTGAGGAGGGAGGGATTGCCCTGTGTTTGCCATTAATCCTGGTGGGATCACCATGAGCTTCCTGCATTTCCTCTGTCCTCAGGAAAGGCTCCAGAGCTGTGTCTGAACAAGACAGATTGATCCCAGCCGGATTTTGGGGCGAGGGCTGCCTTAGCTGCCCGTGTGATGCCATCTGGTTCGGGATTCCTGATTTAGGACACGGCTCTGCTGCTGTCCCCGGCACTGCCCATCCCAAACTGCAGGACGGTCTGTGTCTGCAGGGGTTTAAACAGCACAGGTGCCAGGGCACCAGACCCTGCTGGCACCAGGAGAGGGGGCCCAGCCTGGCCCCGGGCACAGCCCCCCCTTCCCCTCCGTCCTCCAGGAGCCAGGACACAAGCGCGGCTGTGGAATTTCACATCGGAGATAATTGCATTAAGGTAATTGCCACTGCAGCATTATTTGCCATTCCTGGGAGAGGCTGAGAGCGGGCTGAGTGCATTGTGTCTGCGTTAGCAGATTAATAATTACAGCCCTTCGGAGCAGCGCTGCTGTGTGTGGATTCACAGCTGCCGGATCATTACCCGGCACGCCCGATAGGAGCACAACGCCGTGTGTGCACAGTTTGCCTCCTCTGCTGCTGGGTCCTGCCTTCGCTACGCTTTCATCAGACTCACAGCTTGGAAGAAATAGAAAACATTTACAACCTGAAGCAAGCGAGCTCTGGAGCCACGTGGAGCTGTCGGGGATTCTCTGGCGAATGCCTTGGGAAGGAAATGTTCAGTCCCTCCGAGGAAAACTTTGCCTTTCCCAGCTCAGCCCGGTCCTTGGGAGGCTCTGGGTGCACGTGGGACTTATCCCAGCCCACAGCACTCCCTGTGACAAAGGAGATCTGTGGAGATCTTCTCCCACTGCAGAGCCACCGCTGCCTCTGCAGCAGCTCTGTTTGCTGCAAAATAATTTAGGAGAGGGAGCAGAAGGCTCCTGTGGCCTATTGAAAAAGATGAATAATTTAGGGAAGCTGGATGAAATTACAGAGCAGGATAACTCAGCCTCACAGAGAGGATAACACACCATCTCTAACAATCCCATAGCACGAGGGAACAGCAGCTCTGAGTCCCACCTGGCAGAGCTCATCCCCACCTGAACAGTGTGGCATGGGAACCAGGCAGAGTGGGAGGAGGACACAGACAGTTCACACTGCTCTGTTTAGCACTTCTTCCTATTCAGAGCAAATTGAAAAATAAAAGCATTAATTGTGAGCAGAAGATTAGATTGATAAACTGATTTCAGTTTTCACAGTCTGGGGTGTCAGAGGGCAAAGAGTTCACCTGAAAGCCAAGAATTCTGTCCTCCATAATGGTGTCTCCTTCACGTATTGATCAATGTCTGTATGAAGCAAGCATCTCGTTTAGGACACAAACAATATTGTATTTCTTCTTGAGGGATTTCACAGGGAACTTCAGCATAGAGCAAGAGCCAGTGACTCAGAGGTGACACAGTCAGACAGCCAACCAGGGAGAGGACGTGGGTTATTTTGGAAGGTCAGTGGGTACGAGGATGGATCTGCACATCCATCCATCCATCCATCCATCCATCCATCCATCCATCCATCCATCCATCCATCCATCCATCCATCCCCTCTGGGCCCATGGGGGCAGAGCAGGGGGCAGGGGGGAGCCTGATCCCAGGGTCCAAGGTGATCCCAACCCACTGGCAAAGCTCACCCAGCACCTGCAGGGCAGGTGGGGGCTCCTGTGCTCCCCGTGGTCTCCCCATCCCTCCCCAGCAGCATTCCCAGCTCCCCTGCTCCAGGGCAGCCCTGGCAGAGGGACCTGGATCAAGCTCTGAGCTGGATAAGTCCTTGTTGGAGGCACAGGGCTCCTGAACAGCCTCGTGGCTTGACCTCTGTACATTGGAAATTACATTGCAGTCTCTCTACAACACCCAGCGGAGCAGCAGGACTGAACACCTACAAGCACTCCGGCAGGGAAGGAGGATGACAGCTACATCTGTAATACCCAGCAGAGCACAGGAGCCCGCTCCCTCTCGCTCTCCTCTTCCCCATTTTTACATATGCAATTACAGTGCCGAGCGTTATTTGGATTTGCCTCCGCAGCTGCTGCTGTCCTGCAGCGTGCTCCAGCCAAATTACATCTCAGAGATGGCATTTGCACTCGCAGCAGCGCAGCCCGGCTCCCCTGGCGAGGGCGAGCAGAGGGACGCAGTGGCCCCGGCATTTGTTCTTCCAAACAAGAAGGGTTTGTTCATCCGCAGGCACAGCAGGGCTGGCTCAGGGGCTGCCTCTGCTCCCTTTGTGGCGAGCTCGCCGGGACAGATCGCTCCCAGCTGGGCAGCCGGGCCAGCGGGAGCTGAGAAATAATGCCAGCTAATCTGGCTGTTGCATTTATTAATTCCCATTTACACTCCTCTGTCTCCGTCCCTGTCCATCAGCGCTGATTACACCCTCAGCAGCCGATGCCCCCGAAGCATCGCTGTGCCATCACCAGATCCTTGTCAGCTTTTCCACAGCATTAGGATAATGGTTGCATTCAATGGTCTTAAAGGTCTTTTCAGACCTAAACGATTCGATGATTTTAGAAACTATCATTTTAGAAATTGCCATCAAGGCACCTGTAGCGAGGGCTTTGCCGTGCTCATCACCGCGTTACCTTTCCCTGCAGCCACACTAATTGCTAACCCTGGGCAGGAAAAATGTATTTTCCTTACTGTCAAAATGACAACCTCTAAACAAATCCTAAATCCTGTTCTGTGCTTCCAGCAGTGTTTTATCTTTCCGCTGCTGTTCTCTTGAGATTTATGCCTCATGATCTGGAGGAACCTGCAGCATCCATCCCTACCTGTTTCTTGTCTATTTAAGTGGCAAGGGCTTGTCAAGGCACGGAAGTTTCATTGATTTACTGTAAGATGCGGGATCAGGCTGCTGCAGTGAATCCCTGGCTGTGCTCCCACTCGGAGAGGGTTGGCAGAGCCCAGCCAGGAACCAGGGCCGGAGCATCCAGTGCCTGGAGGGGGTGAGGGGAGAGGGGTAAAGGATCCAGATTGGAGGGGTCTGTGATGGTGCCTTGGGCTGAACCTCCAGAGCTGACCCTTGGAGAGGAACGGGGGCTCTGCTTGTCCTGTGCCATCTCTGGGATGCCCTGGAGCACGGG